ATTAAAGGTGAAGGTTTTAGCGTCAAGAACACATGAAAAATTTAAATTGTTCCACAAAGAGTTATGTAAAATATTAAATTTTCATGGACCGCTTGACGTGGTTTGACCCACCCCAGGGGTTTGACTCACCCGAATACCTGAGTTTGCTGGACTTACGATTCACATAGACATATTCTTTCTGAAAAAATTAGCCTTAACATAACAAAAAAGCGCCCACTAGAAATAGTTTTTAGCAGAGACGTAACAGACCCTGAGAAATACGATAAAAGTAGACAGAATCACAAGAAAAACAGACAAATGACTTTTAAAATTATAAAAAGGGCAATGAAATTAAAACTTATTCACTAGGGCTATATATTGTCTATATTCGTTAAGCAAAATAATAGATTAGGATCTGACCACCACGATATAAAAAGGAATTTAAGAAAAGAAACTCACAACAATAATTCCAGAATAAGGGATAATTGTTGACAAAAGTAATATCAGAAGAGCGTAATTAATAGTCTGAAGGTGAATAGAGCTGAAACGTCTAATAACGAGAAAAACAATTTTATCGCACATAAAAAAACCAAAAATAAAAACAAAACTCAATATGTTTAACCCTTTATAATTCATTGTGCCAGGATAATCGTATGGTAGTTGCCAATCGTAAATTTCGACATTACAAACTATACGGACGCACATAATATTACAATGTATAAAGGAATAGGGAAAATACAAACGGCATCCATTATATTAATTCACTTTAAAGATCTTCAGCAAATAGAAATCGAACTTCTAAAAATTAGCGAATACACCATTAAAGATCTTTATATAAGCTTTCACTTTCATGCTCTAGCTCCCGAAATATAATAGTACAATCACTCTATGCATTAAATACACTCTCTTTTCTAGACCGCCGAACTAAACCAGATCGTTATTAACAGCTCATAATAATACAAAAGCATCTCAATAGCTTCATTACAACCAATAATGGTCAAGTCATTATAAATAAACAACTACAGAACAGAATTAACGATTTAGCTACAATCTTAAATATGTTCAAAAGTACAATCAGAAAAGATAATTTCTTTAATAATGAAAGAGCAATAAGTTTCCAAAATCAAGTCAGACTAATAAAATAAGAAATAATAAACATTAAATATGCAACTGCATGGGCAAATCTGAATATAATAAATACTTTTCTTCTACACGAAATATAATTACAAGAAGTCCACAAAATTAAATAAAAAAAATAACGAAACACAAGAAAAAGAAATAAACGAAAACAATTATACCACAGCAAATATAACAAATACAACAACAACAGGATGAGTCGATGACCCTCAAACCCACGCAATGATCTCATCATTGCTTACTCACCTTACTGGTCCTCTACTAACAACACCAACAATATACTCACCTCAACCTACAATATTCCCCTCTCTAACAACAGATAATGAAAGGATAGAATAAACAATGCGAATTTTACAGTGGAATATAAATGGCTTACTTAATAATTACCCTGATTTAAATATTCTAATTAATGAATTTTCTCCTGAAATCGTTGCAAGGTATTGCAATTGTCGTTAAAAACTCCATCAACCATAAACTCATCCCGGTCACTTCTGGCATTTCCTGCTTGGCGTTGGAAATTGACATAGGCTTCAAAATCACTATTGCCAATTGCTACATCCCGCCTCATCAGA